AGTACGGATGTCTTTTTTTTTTTTGTCATTGCTGAACCTTTGAGCATTCCTCCTTTTCTTTCTGGATGATGTTTCGGTATATGAAGTTCACCGAGTGCTCAAAAGTCGAGAACATTACCATAGAGACTGCAAACCGACACTCTGGTCAGCACTAACAAGTAAAGAGCTTACCTATCGTGGAACAGGAGAAAATCGAGTTTTATTAGTTACAAACACACTTACATGGAAGGTTTCGACCCAAAAGCGGAATTAGCCCCCTGTAAAATCTGTGACCAGACAGAAACACAGAACACAAGATCCTCTTAGCTAGGAAAGCATGCATGGACAACAAACGAAAACCAGAAAAGAAACAGGAAGCTGCCCCCATGGATAATTTTCTTACCCAAAGATACCTTGAGATGCATAAATCTTGGGGAATCCATCCTTTAATCCCTTTGCAAAGCCTTGCTGAGCTTGAACTTGAACTTTAATGGCTTCAAATGGGCACAGAGCCAAATTGGCAAAGACCTCAGCTGAAGCACTGCTCAGAAAGAAGACGAAGTTCCGGTTGCAGTGGGGCAACACATTTGAGTAGAGATCTTTGAAATACTCGTACAAACCGAATCTGCAACCGCCATGAACGCCATAGCCAAACAACTTCACCCCCCAACCTCTCCAAAACACAGAAGGGCCACGTTCTCTCAGGAGAGAGGTAAAGCATGATGGAATGGTGCCATACTTCACTGGGTTCACCTACAACTGAACCAAGTCAATTTCACCTAAGATCTTCAGAGTGTTTGAGATTCAGACAAAACCAGCACCATGACACCCAAGTATGTTCAGACATCGGTTCAGACACGATTCATATAAATCTCCCAGTCGGTACTGACCGCCGGCGCTCCAAGTCATGACCGTAATGTGAAATCATTACAGAACATATATAATTAAACGATACGATCCATGAGAGATCGAGATGAAACAACACAAACCCGCGTAAACTCCGAACAGAACACAGGAAAACAAAAAACAGAATCGCAGAAGAAGAAGAACCTGCATGTTGACTTTGAGAACATCGAGAGGAGTAATAAGGACATGGGTGGTTCCGGCACTGAACATTCCTCCCAAAGCGCAGACGCCATAGTAGCTGTGACCCATCATTTCTCTCTCTCTCGTCATCGTCTTTCCCTCCTCCTTCAGGCCTAAAGCTTCGTCGTCTTTGCCACAGCCCACAACCCAAAACCTCTTCAACTGTGGATTCATCGCGTGGAGATTCGAAAGCCTCCGCCTGGCTCAGAGGTTGTCAAAGCTGCGTGCTTTTTTTTTGGGGGGGGGGCAAAACGTTTAGGGATTTCGTAGGGTTTAATTTTGACTTTGACCGTCATATGTCTCAATATCACAGTCAGTCTGATTATCTAATAACTAAATGAGCCACAAACATGAAAAGAGTTTAAAGTATATCCAAGGGAGAAGTGAAGAGTATATGAATAATTTACATTTTCTAAATTGTTAAAGAAACTAATTAATATGTATATATTCATAGAATTTTTTCAAAAACATCTAAATCAACATATTTATAGATAATTTTATTAATTTTTAATCTAAAACTTTTGGTGATCATAATAAAAAAATTTGCGATATTAAATAAACAATACAAAATATAATCACGTTGGTGTATATATTTTTTATACAAATAGAAAAACAATAATATACACCTTGTATACTGTAGGATTGTATCTGCAATCCTGAATTCTGGTTTCTGTTTTTCCGCCTGAGCTGAACTTGGAGAAGCCGCCATACCATTCAGAAGGTTTCACAAGAAAAGACGACGTCGCACTGAGCTTGGCGAGATTAAAATTGACAGGGGCACATGGGTAATTTTGTGGTCACTGTTGGGGTTCTAATAAAACCCAGAGAAACGTAGTTGCTGGGATAAGTTCATTTTCTGTATCCTTAGCAAGAATCCGATCATTCCGATCTCTCTCATCTTGTAATCGTGAAACCCTAAACCTCGAGAAATAAACTGCCCAGATCTTCACCGAGACGTAGGACAAGCACACCGCTTGAATCCGAACTCGTAACTCTCGTGTCTCTCTCTTTCTTGATTTGCATTTGGTTTGCTTGTGTCTGTGTTCTTTGTTTGCAGGTTGTTCGATCTAAGTTCGAAAGCAGATTTCGGCGAAGTAGTGGAGAAGACAGAGGGTGTTTCTTCTACAGGTGGTATCAGAGCCCGGTTGTGGCTAAGGGAAGTTGTGAATCTTGGGTTTTACAGATCAGAACAGTAATGGCTGTGCAGATGCAGAAATTAGATGTTGAACGCTTCGATGGGAAAGGAGATTTCGTTCTTTGGAAAGAAAAAGTTATGATCGGTCTTGAAATCATGGGTTTGTCAGACACCTTAGAGGATGATCCAAGAAACTGGGAACTAGGAGAAGATCTTGAGAAAAGCTCAAGACTGATGCCAGCCGAAATCCTGGCAACTCCAACAGCATCGGTGGTAGGGAGTTCGGTTATTTCAGGAACCACAGCTCAAGAGGATCAAGACTCTGAAAAAGGAGACGACAAGGAAGCAAGAACGAAGCTCTGGAAAACAAGAGCTGAGAGGAGCAGAAGGACTAGAAATTTGATCGTATTGTGTCTTTCTGATCAAATTCTAAGAAGAGTTATCCAAGAAAAGACCGCTTTCGGGATCTGGAATATGCTAGAGAAGCTCTACCTCGAACAATCATTGCCTAATCGAATGTATTTGATGCAGAGACTCTCTGGATTCAAGATGGATGAGTCAAAAACAATCGAAGAAAATCTCGATGTGTTCCAGCGCATGTTATCAGATCTTCAGAACCTCCAAGTCAAAGTAGAGGAAGAATATCAAGCCGTCTACTTGTTGAATTCTTTGCCGCCACCCTATGAACAGCTACGTGAGGTGCTTAAATACTCTAGAACCTCAATAACCCCAGAAGAAGTAAAGGCAGCCGCGAGATCTAAGGAACTCGAGCTGCTGTCACAAGGGAAGGTCTCAAAAGGTACTGTTGAGGGTCTAAGTGTCAGAGGAAGGACTGAAAAAAGAGAGCAAGGTGGACATCGGAAGAAGTCCAGATCAAGGTCGAAGTCAAAATCAAAGACTGAATGTTGGTACTGCGGAAAGAAAGGACATTTTCGAAAGGATTGTCGCTCCAGGAAACGAGATCAGGGTCAACCTCAGGGAGATGGAGGAGAAGTCAGCATAGTTCGATCAGACACATCAAGAACTGGATCCCAGACAATGGAGTTAACAGAGGTGTTGTCTGTGCATGAAAGAAACACCGAGAAGGAATGGATCATGGATTCGGGTTGCTCATATCACATGACACCTCGAAAGGATTGGTTCACATCTCTAGAGCCCTGCAAATTCGGACTCGTGAGCATGGGAAACAACACAACATGTTGGGTTGTTGGAATCGGGAACATAAAGATTGAAACCCATGATGGATCTCAAGTAATGCTGACAAATGTTAGATATATACCACAATTGAGGAGAAATCTGATATCAATGGGAGAATTAGAGGCTCAAGGATGCTGGTACAAGTCTCAAGAAGGTTCTCTGAAAGTGATAAAGGGCTGCAGAGTTGTGCTTAAAGGTCAGCTTAGAGATGGCTTGTATGTGCTGGATGGGAAAACTATAGCTGCAGAAGCTCATCCAGTGAAAGAAGTTGCAGACAACACACACCTATGGCACAGTAGACTCGCCCACATGAGTCAAAAGGGCATTGACATGCTCGCAAGGAAAGGGTTAATCCCACAGAATGAGATCTCAGCACTTGAATTCTGTGAAAACTGCATTTTCGGGAAATCCCACAGGTTGGTCTTTGGCACAGGAAAACATAATGCTAGAGGGATACTGGACTACATTCATTCCGACTTATGGGGATCACCAAATGTGCCAAGCTCAATGTCAAGAAACCAATACTTCATTACCTTCATAGATGATTTCTCTCGGAAGGTGTGGATTTATTTCCTAAAGTCGAAGTCTGAAGCTTTTGACAGGTTCTGCTCATGGAAGACACTAGTGGAAAAACAGACAGGCAAGTGCATTCGGACACTACGGACAGACAACGGGTTGGAGTTTTGCAATCAGAAATTCGACAGTTTTTGCAGCGAAAACGGAATACAAAGGCATAAGACCTGTACCTATACTCCGCAGCAAAACGGAGTTGCGGAAAGGATGAACCGAACTATTATGGAAAAGGTTCGAAGTTGGTTAGCCGAAACAGGACTTCCACAAGTTTTCTGGGCTGAAACTGCAGCAACCAGTGTCTACATAATAAACCGATCTCCCTCTAGTGCTCTCAACTTCGAAGTTCCAGAACAAGTCTGGTCAGGTTCATCCCCAAATTATACACATCTGAAAAGATTTGGAAGTATTGCATACATTCATGCTGATCAAGGGAAGACATTGCCCAGAGCAAAGAAAGGCATATTTCTTGGATATCCGGAAGGCGTAAAAGGATACAAAATATGGTTAATAGATGAAAGAAAGTGTGTAATCAGCAGGGATGTCAGGTTCAATGAACAAAAGGTCTATAAGGATCTTGAAGAAGAGAAGCAAAGTGCACAAGGAGAGTCTGAAAGAACACAAAACCCAGAAATGGCAGCCATTCCCTTGATACAGACCTCAAAAGAAAACACAGTGGTTAGATTTCAAGGTGGAGCTGATAAGCTGGTCAGTTCACCAAGGAAAAATGACTCACAAGAAGCTGAAAGTGAAACAACTAGAACTGATGACACAGATAAGATGGAACAGAGCTCAGAAACACGGAACTCAGATTCTCTGTCAGATTACCAGCTTGCAAGGGACAGAATGAGGAGAGATATAAAACCACCGTCAAGATTTCAAGAGTCAGAGTTTGTAGCTTTCGCATTGACCTCAGCCAGTGAGATCGAGCTGGATGAACCGAAAACCTTTCAAGAAGCCAGAAAACGAAAAGATTGGAAGAAATGGCATCAAGCTATGGTCGAAGAAATGCAGTCTCTGGAACATAACAGAACATGGATTTTGACTCCTCGACCTGAAAACAAGAAGATAATCGGTTGTAAATGGGTGTTGAAGCGGAAACCTGGTATTCCTGGTGTGGAGGAGCCCAGGTACAAAGCAAGACTGGTTGCAAAAGGTTTTTCACAGGTCGAAGGAGTAGATTACAACGAGATCTTTTCACCAGTGGTTAAACATGTCTCGATCAGAGTGCTACTATCTTTGGTTGTGCATCAGAATTTAGAACTTGAACAGATGGATGTTAAAACAGCTTTCTTGCATGGGAACCTTGAAGAACAAATCTACATGTCGCAGCCTGAAGGTTTCGAAGAGAAAGGGAAGGAGAAAATGGTCTGTTTGTTGAAGAAATCGCTTTACGGATTGAAACAGTCTCCGCGTCAGTGGAATCAGAGATTCGATCAGTTTATGCAGAAGATAGAATACTCCAGAAGTAAGTTCGATTCCTGTGTCTACTTCAGAAAGTTAACAGATATGTCATACATATACCTCTTAATATATGTAGACGACATGTTGATTGCCGCAAAGAATCAAGCCGACATACAGAAGCTGAAGAAGTTGCTTAGCTCAGAGTTTGAGATGAAAGATCTTGGACCTGCGAAGAGAATCCTGGGTATGGACATCTGTAGAAACAGGTCAGAAGGCAGATTGTTTCTATCTCAGCAAGAGTACTTGAACAAGGTTCTGGCAACTTTCTCAATGAGTGACGCCAAACCTGTTCAAACTCCTCTAGGTACGCATTTCAAATTAATGGCAAATACAATGGAGTCTGAAACTTATCAGGAGATAAAAGAGAATGTACCTTACTCAAACGCGGTAGGAAGCATGATGTACGCCATGATTGGTACGAGACCAGATCTTGCTTATCCTATCGGAGTTGTAAGCCGTTTTATGAGCAATCCAGGAAAGCAACATTGGGAGGCTGTAAAATGGGTCTTGAGGTACATAAAGGGTTCACACAGAAAGGGTCTCTGTTACGTTAAAGGATCAGATGTTTCAGTTAAAGGTTTCTGCGACTCAGATTATGCAGCGGACTTAGACAAGCGTCGTTCAATATCTGGTTATGTATTTCAGGTTGGTGGGAACGTAGTCAGCTGGAAATCGAGTCTTCAGCATGTAGTGGCACTGTCTACAACAGAGGCGGAGTACATGGCTTTAACCGAGGCAATCAAAGAAGGGATTTGGTTGAAAGGGCTGTTAGAAGAATTGGGCTGTCAACAGAACTCAGTTTGTGTGTTTTGTGATTCACAAAGTGCAATCAGTTTGTCGAAAAACACGGTTCATCATGAGAGGACGAAGCACATCGATATTCGTCTACATTTTATACGAGATGTGATAGCACAAGGTCTGATCAGTGTAATAAAGATTCATACCGACGAGAATCCGGCAGATGCGCTTGTAGGATTGTATCTGCAATCCTGAATTCTGGTTTCTGTTTTTCCGCCTGAGCTGAACTTGGAGAAGCCGCCATACCATTCAGAAGGTTTCACAAGAAAAGACGACGTCGCACTGAGCTTGGCGAGATTAAAATTGACAGGGGCACATGGGTAATTTTGTGGTCACTGTTGGGGTTCTAATAAAACCCAGAGAAACGTAGTTGCTGGGATAAGTTCATTTTCTGTATCCTTAGCAAGAATCCGATCATTCCGATCTCTCTCATCTTGTAATCGTGAAACCCTAAACCTCGAGAAATAAACTGCCCAGATCTTCACCGAGACGTAGGACAAGCACACCGCTTGAATCCGAACTCGTAACTCTCGTGTCTCTCTCTTTCTTGATTTGCATTTGGTTTGCTTGTGTCTGTGTTCTTTGTTTGCAGGTTGTTCGATCTAAGTTCGAAAGCAGATTTCGGCGAAGTAGTGGAGAAGACAGAGGGTGTTTCTTCTACATATACATTCACCCAGACACATTTCTTTGGTCGATGTTGATTGTTGAAGGGGCTTGGATCTGCAGTCCACTGATGCTCACTCGGACAAGCATTTGGGATGTGTCCTGGGGAGGAAACAACTGTCTGGGCTCGAGTTTCTTGCCAAAGACCGCAGAGAACTTGGAAAAAAGTCCCAAGATTTTGTGATTTAGATTTGAGGTTAAGGTACAAAGTTTGATCATTTTCGAGGGTTATAGCAGCAATTATTAAGGGCATTAGTAGATGCTTGCTAACTCGATTCCCAAAGAAGAAGAAGAAGAAGAAGAAGAAGAAGAAGAAGAAGAAGAAGGGTGATGAGAGGGGCAAAACGGGGAATAGAATAAGAACATCAGCCACTGTTTAAAATGGAAAAAAAAAGACAGGAGGAGCAAAAAGTGGAGAGGGTCTTACGTTTCAAGGCCACACGCAATCTGAGTTCTATTCTTCTCTCTCTCTCCGTTTGGGGACTAAGAAAAAGGAAGCTCCTTTGGACCTGGGCTTCTCCAAAGATTCTCCAAAGATCCAAACTTTGACGATCGAATACACCGAACACAGGCAAGCCGGTTGAAATTCGGACAACAGGCGGAGAGAGAGATGTCGTGTTCATCCTCGTCCGGATCAGAGGAAGACGACGAGGGATTCGACTCTTACCGTAAAGGTGGGTATCACGCCGTCAGGATCGGCGATCCGTTCGCCGGCGGCCGTTACATTGCCCAGAGAAAGCTCGGTTGGGGCGAGTTCTCCACCGTTTGGCTTGCCTACGACACTCGCACCTCCGTACGCATCTCTTCCCCCATCTTTGTTCCTTTCGATCTTTTGTGGTAGGAAGATAGATTCTATTTCAGAATTCCGGTTTCTCGCGATCAATCGTGTTTGTGTTCGATTTCTCTGGGTCTTCTGTACGGATTCCGATCCGTTCTTTTCTCAGAAATCACCTATCTGATACTTCCTGCGTCGGAAAACGAGATCGGATCAACTGACAGAGACACTATTGAGGGGGAAAAGCATTTCGTTGACTAAATCATGTCTTTGACCCTCCAATCCTCTGGATTTTGATGAAAGATCTTGGCTTGACCCAACATTTTTCTTAATTTTCTCGTGATTTAATGTAACAAAACCCCGAAATCTGGAGGATCACGACTCTAGATTTGGGAATTTAGTGCGAAGTTTTCCAGTTTTAGTTGTTTGTGTAAAGAAGAAAGCTTAGTTGTTTGTTGGGAAGGGGAATACATATGCTTGTGGTTCTGTTCTTGAAACGCCATTATCTGCTTATGGGTGATGGCTGAATTTTGGGGGGAACACATCTAACAGATCCACATGGTATAATGTCTGAAAATAATCTTGGTATAGGATTTGTTCTAAGGAATATTGTTTGGATTCCACTAGGCATCAACCTTGTATTGTTGGTTCATGACGAACTTCTGTATGTTTTCGAGAGAGAGGAGAATTAGGAGTATCGGTATCGGTTTGAGACAGATATTTCATAAGGGTTTGAATGAAAATTTAATATGTAGAAGAAGCTCCTAATCATAAGCTACGTCCTCCTCCTCCTTCCATGTTCTTTCATCAGCTCGAGTGCTGTTTTTCTAATCGAACTACACTGTTAATGTTTTTATGCAGAGTTATGTCGCCCTGAAGATTCAGAAGAGCGCCCAACAATTTGCTGAAGCTGCACTTCATGAAATCGAACTTCTTTCAGCGATTGCAGATGGTGACCCCGACAATTCCAAGTGCGTTGTTCGTTTGATTGACCACTTTAAGCATACAGGTCCTAATGGGCAGCATCTATGTATGGTACTCGAATTTCTCGGCGATAGCTTGCTCCGACTGATCAGATATAACCATGGCAAAGGGCTGGAATTGAATAAAGTGCGGGACATATGCAGATGTATACTCACGGGCCTGGATTATTTGCACCGTGAACTTGGTATGATTCACACCGACTTGAAACCCGAAAACATTCTTCTTCGTTCCACCATTGACCCTGCCAAAGATCCTGTAAGATCTGGATTGACACCGATATTAGAAAGGCCCGAGGGAAACATAAACGGTGGAGGGACAACCATGAATCTGATCGAGAAGAAGTTGAAGAGGAGAGCAAGACAAGCAGTCGCCAAAATATCAGAAAGAAGAGTTTCCATGGTGGGTATAGCCGAAGCGCCGTCAAAGGCTGGGAGAAATCTGGATGGGATCGATATGAGATGTAAAGTTGTGGACTTTGGGAACGGTTGTTGGGCCGATAAGCAGTTTGCAGAAGAAATACAGACGAGGCAGTACAGAGCACCGGAAGTGATTCTCGGGTCGGGATACTCGTTCTCTGTTGACATGTGGTCATTTGCCTGTACTGCTTTTGAGCTTGCCACAGGTGACATGCTATTTGCTCCGCAAGATGGAAATGGATACAGCGAAGACGAGGTAATATAGTTACGTTTTTCCCTATCGTGTCGGTACCTAATTAACCGACTTCTTCTTCTTCTTTTTTCCCGGATGTTTGATGCATGTAACATCTCTGGTTTTACCTCAGGACCACCTTGCTCTTATGATGGAACTCCTTGGAAAAATGCCTCGGAAGGTAATACCGATCCCACAAAAAAACTTTTTTTTCTTACTCATATGTCTCCGTCGTCATGCTTTCATGGCAAATAGAGAGTCTATTTCCGACTAAAAAACTCGTTATTCCGGGAAATGACAGTAGCTTCTATATGCGTGCTTGAGCAGATCGCCATTGGAGGTGCTCGGTCCAAGGATCTCTTCGACAGACACGGGGACCTTAAGAGGATCCGGAGGTTGAAAAACTGGCCGCTCGAACGAATACTGATCGGGAAATACGAGTTTCCGGAGGCGGAAGCTCGGGAATTCGCCGAGTTTCTCTGTCCAATCCTGGATTTCGCGCCGGAGAAACGACCCACTGCTCGTCAGTGCCTGCAGCATCCATGGCTGAATAATCTGGGGACGAATGAGAGGACAGAGCAGGTAAGCACCCAGATGAGCAACTTGCAGATCAAACGCTGAAGAATCGGGACTTTTGTCTTGTCTTTTCGTACAAAAAGACATTGATCAGTACGGATGTCTTTTTTTTTTTTGTCATTCTTTGGTTCGTTTTGGATTGAACAAGAGATTTGATTAATCTCTTTCTTTGTTTTTTTTTTCTGGGGTTATGGTCATTGGATTATTAACCAATGATTCCATAAACATTACAAGAGAATTACTATGAACGAATCACTAACAATGATTTGGAAGCCTTTTTATGTGCTTTGAACATTTGTATGAATAAAGAAGGTTCCTGTTCGAGTACGTGTTCAAACCCATACACATATGCAAACATACATGTATGTATGTATGTATGTATGTATGTATGTATCTATGTATGTATCCATGCAGGGCCGTCTGTTAGCAAGTGCAGGCGGTGCGATCGAACGGGGCCTCCAAATTTGTAGGGCTCCTTAGTAAAAAAATATAAATAATATATAATAATTAAAATTAATTATTAAATAAATTTGTAGGCCCTTGTTAAGTAAAAAATATAAATAATACATAATAATTAAAATTAATTATCAATAATAATGAGTAACAGCTTTTGTTATATATATTATACACATTGATTTTTTTAATTTTATTTTAATATTATTATTTTTAATATATAAATTAATACTTTTTTATCCAAAATTTAGAATATGTGCAGGGCCCAAAAATTTATGAGACGGCCCTGTATCCATGTATGTGTATGTATGTATGTACGTATGGTTTAAAGGGTTTTGAAAATACAAATAAAACTATGTGAACCCGTAAATGAGGCTTTTAAAATTCAAAACGATAGATATAATTAGAATGAAAATTTTTCTATGAATTTTTTGCCTAGTAGATTGAAAAAAAAAACATCTTGCTTATTCCAGATTAAATTTTCCATCGTTTTTTGTTTATTATGCTTATATATATATATATATATACACACACTTTTTCTTCTTTGTTTCTAGCATGAATGAGTGTCCCTATGTTTATTTGTTCATGAAATGGGTATATATCCCTTTTACATGGATAGGGATGTCAATTAAGCCCGGAGCCCGAAACTCGGTCCGAGCCCGCCCGAAAATTATAAGGATATGGGCCTAAAAAATGTAGGCTCATTAAACATCGGGCTTTCGGGCCTCGGGCCAAATGGGCTACGGGCCGGTCGGGCCGGGCCAGTCGAGTCTCGGGCCGGGCTTGAGGCCCGTTAATTGTTTTTTGTTTTTTCTAACCTTCTTTTCTAAACCAAAGTTTTACCTCTCTATACTTATAAATATGTGTGTTTATATATATATATATATATATATATATATATTTGAACCTGTTATTTTTTTATCACGTTTAAAAGTTTTTAATCGCATGTTGTGGTGTTGGAGAATTGAACAATTGGATAATTTTTTCAATTTTATTTTTATTTATGAACTAAATGACTTTGTTGTTATCGGTTTTAAAAATATTTTTGTTGAATTATTATTATTATTATTATTATTATTATTATTATTATTATTATTATTATTATTATTATTATTATTATTATTATTATTATTATTATTATTATTATTATTATTATTATTATCGCAAAAAAATATTTTTATTTAATAAAAAGCCCGAAGCCCTGTAGGGTCGGGCTCCGGGCCATCGATCCTAGACCCGAAAAATAAATGGGCGGGCCGACCCAACCCGAAAAATTCTAGGCCCAAATTGAACCCGGCCCGAACCCGGCCCGACCCGCCCATTTTACACCCCTATACATGGATAAGGATTAGGGAAGAGTAGTTGATTAATTGATCTAATCCTGATTGCTTTTTTTTTTAAAAAAAAAAAGAGTTCACCACAGAAAAACAGTTATGACAATAAATACTCTTAATGAAAAATGTGTTTTAGGTAAGAAACACGATTTATTTTAAAACTGCAATGTTTGGTCGAACAAACGATTTATTTACATAAAAAGATTATATAAATAATATAAGTTAATAATTCTTTGCCAGAAAAATATAAGTTAATAATCGTAGAAGAATATTATAGAGGAAAAAAATCCTCGAAAAGAAACCCAAGAAGGATGCAAATAAGAATATTAAAATTATAAATATTTTGAAATATATATCTTTACAGATAGGAGATTATAAAACTAGAAAAAATACATCTTAAAGTTTTTTTTGGCATTTTTTCTTAAAATTAGTTTCGTATCCTAAGGTAAAGATATATTTTTTGTTTTTTCTTTCATATAAAAAGTTATTTTATATAAAATTAAAAAAGAACTGATATTATGAAACAAAATGTTATTAAAAAAATGCCGGCAGGAAATTTATTGGAAAATACAGAAGTAAGTATCCCGCAAGTGGAGGTTCGGGGTTCGGTTCGTTACTTTGCCAAAATAAAATAAAGAAACAAAGAACATTTCCTCACCACATGTAACGGACATGACTGACCATATATAGATATATATGGCTTAGCTTTGTTTATATCTAACGTTGGATATGCCACGTGGACCCACTTATTACGTCTCTCCTAAAAATCCACCAAATCTTCACAAAAACAATGATTATAAAGCAGAATTAAAAATGTGGTTTTAATTTTTTATACACAAATGATTTGAAATAAATATTTCAATCCACATATATAGATATATATATATATATATAATTTATTCCAATCAAATCTTATTCAAAATAAATTTAATATAATGAGTGATAAAGTCGAACACATCAAATTTATATATATCTTTTTTTCAAGTTGTAAATTTTAATCCGAAAATAATAATAAAATTTAATCAAAATACAAATTATCTGTTTTTATCTTGTTTTATCTATGATCTTGAAGAGCTGAAAGAAATATCTTTATTGACAAAAAAAAAATAGATGCATAATTTTTTTGTTATAAAAAAACATGTAGATGAAAGATCTGAAGTTGAAGTAAGGCCCCATGTGCGACAAAAGCTACAAGAAACATAACATCCATCACTTTTATTATATTTATTTTTATCATAAATGGATCCAAATGTATCAATCATCACCTTGAATCTACAAACACTGTAAATGCAACAAATCGACACATATATATATAGACATATATATATATATATAGCTCTTCTACCTCAAACCCATGAAGAAAATGGCCAAAACGCCAAAAAGAAGATCAAATAAGATTCTACCGAAATGGCATTAAGTTGTTTCTGAAACAATATTTTGCCCCTTGTGACATTTCACTACGAACTCACGGCTTTGTTCTGCTTTGAACGTTCAGGAGCCTTCAGATCTTTGCAGTTCCACGACGGTCCTGACACGATCGGAATGATGTCATCATTGGAACTCTCGGGTCGAGGCAGCGGTTTCACGTTGTTTCCATGTCTGGAAACGTTCTCCTCGGGTAATCTAGACTCGGAGATTTTGGCGATTCCTTCTCCCTTGTTGTTTTCTTGATCCCTAGTATGGCAAATGCTCAAAGGCAGCTTCTTTAGCTTCACTCTTCCCCTTCTCTTACCCGACGAGTTACTTTCATCTCCTGTTTTGTCCTTCAACTTGGTCGGATCTGCTTCCATGCCGTTAGAACTGTCCGAGTTCACTACATCGGCAATGTCATGTTCCCCGGACATAGAACCTGAAACTATGCTGCACCCACTTTCCACCCTCGGATTCTCAGAAGTAACCATCATGGCCTTATGCTTCTTGTTCTTGTGACCCTTCCCCTCGGTCTTCAAGATTCTATATGAACTGCTTATAGCTCGATGCAACCTACTCGCTAAATCCCCATCCTTTGAATTCGAATACAAGATCTCAATGGGGACATGCTTCTTCTGCTTATTCCTCCTCGGAGACCTCTCCTTCACGCTAATCGCCTCGTCAGGAAACGAGTAAAACAATTCTAAAGCATTCTTGGCCGCAGCTATGGTCTACGTAGCCAACTCAGACTGCCACGTCATGCCAGATGTTTCCGTTCCAAGTCAACTTTGTTGTCCTCCGCGTTTGCCGCGTGGGAAACGCCTCGTCCTGTGTTTTTAAACGTGTAAAAAAATTATTTTTTCACAAATTATATATTTTTTAATTTCCAATGGATATTTATTATCTCATTCTGTTTAATAGTTTTTGTTTTTATAAAAAAAATAAATGAATTATTTTATCTCTTCCTTCGACTTTCTAGTAAAACCAACAATATTGAAATCTCGTGATTACACTTTTGTTTAATATTCCATCATCACAAATTTCCTTCTGCGGCAGCTCTCGCCGCCTTTGCGGCCTTAGCCGCAGTGGCAGAAGCAGCCATCGAGGACTCTGCAATCTCCTCAGGGGTCAGATTCGGGTCGTCGAGATGAGATGTCAATATGTTGTCCAGATGGTTTTGCACTTTGTCTGAATCAGACAAGCCATTTGAAGTCGAGCAGGAGGAATCACCATCTCCATCTGCAGGAGGAGGGTTTGGAGATCCGTTGGTGATTAAGTTCTGTTTCTTCAATCCGGCGAGCAAACGCTTCCGAGGAGGAAGAAGCGCATCGGATCCGAGTTGGTTTACACCGCAAGCATTTTTCTCCATTTCGTCAATCTTCTCTTCCGGTTTCAACTGAAACCCAGATTCGATCGACAAGACATGGATTAGTGTCTGGTTAGGGCAGGAAATCAGAAGACAGAAAGTGGATCAGAATTCAAATCAGCTCGATCGAAAACCCTAACGAGCAAATCAGAGTACAAATACTCTTCTCCATCATCCTCTCATCAAAATGATGATAACATAAAAACGATCTGCATCAACTTCATAGAATCGAGAACAAGAACATCATCTCAAATCCAGCGAATTCCTCAAACACCACGATTAAACATGCATCCCAAAAGCAAATTCCGGGCAGTAAAAAACCCAATTCAAATTAGACGAATCATTAACATAAACTACAACCAGGAACACGAAAATAATCCAGAAAAAAAAACCACATCGACAGCTCGAGTGCTCGATCGACGGGATTTCCAAAAAGATGCCGGATTCAGACAAAAAAAGAAACAGAGTCCCAGATCAACAAGCTTTAAACAATCTCGCAATCTCTTCCCTCATCTCAAGGCAAGTTTTGGCAGCTTTGGAGTTACCTAGTCATCATACAAGGAGAGAGATGCACAGAACGGGAAATGAAACAAAAGAGAAATTTAGGGTTTTCAGATGGAGAGAAATGGAGAAGAGAGGAGAGGTTTGTGCTTCTAATCTGTGCCCCATTTTCGTTTTTATATGTAAACCCTACGAATCACACTCGTCTTCTCTTTTCCATTATCTTTTTTTTTTATCCACTAATTTATTTCTTCCATTTTTTTTTTGAAAAATTTACCCAGAAACTTCCACAGCTGATTCAGACAATCCATTTTATTACATTGCTCCGTCCAACGATAATAACGGCCGTCATAACTCTCGTTTTTAACGGAGTCTCGCGTTTTCTTCTTTTAAATCATAAAAATATAATCCTAATCTTTTATTTAAATTAATAAAAAAAGAATATTTTTTTTAGATATTTAATGTCTGACTACCTCATTTTAAAATTAAATCACACTATATGAATAAATATATTCGCAACATAAAATCATAATACGTTATTAAGAAAACATATATTAGAGTTGTTATATTAATGTTAATAAGAGATATTAGACAGATATTAGCTAGCTTTGTCTTCTTATTTTTAATCATGGATCAATTAATAAAATGATAATAGTTTCACAGTTCTTTGTTAAAATATATTTTAGAAGAAATTACTAGTTTCATATTTTTATTTTTAACTCTGTACTAGCTAGTAAATACCGTATATATATCATTCTAAATGTATTATTCAATCAATGAGTTTTGTTTTATAAATATATGTGACATAGTAAAATGTATTAAACGAATTATATCAATGTACCGTTTAAAAAGTTTTTTGTTAGTCAAACATATCAAAATTTTAAATATAATATATATTTACGGAATATATACCATAATTCATAAACTGAAAATTCCAATAAAACCGTGATCTAAAACCACGTTCATATATTTATAAACAAAATCTAATTTCCATTAATGAATGAAATAAATATCCGTGAGATTATAACACCAAATAAACGTGTGATTAAATACAGAGCATGCAGGTAAAAAGCTAAAATAGTTTCGGTAATTAATATTCTGTGGTTTTTGCAAGAGGGGTAAAATAAATCCCAAAATAAGACCAAGGAAAAACAGCTTGAAGAAGTATTGAAAAATGAAATTTGTTTTATTTTCATAATTTGTTTTATTCATTTCTAATTTTTTTTAAAAATATATTCAGAAAATCAGTTTCGGATTCGGTGCCGGGGAAATTCCAGAGTCTACGTAGCCAACTCAGACTGCCACGTCATGCCAGATGTTTCCGTTCCAAGTCAACTTTGTTGTCCTCCGCGTTTGCCGCGTGGGAAACGCCTCGTCCTGTGTTTTTAAACGTGTAAAAAAATTATTTTTTCACAAATTATATATTTTTTAATTTCCAATGGATATTTATTATCTCATTCTGTTTAATAGTTTTTGTTTTTATAAAAAAAATAAATGAATTATTTTATCTCTTCCTTCGACTTTCTAGTAAAACCAACAATATTGAAATCTCGTGATTACACTTTTGTTTAATATTCCATCATCACAAATTTCAATCAATCGTGACATAAAAATTTAATGATCACCTTCATCACCATTTACAAACCACAATACTATCATTATATTTACTGACTTTTTTTTTTCATACACCCTTCCTTCTCTATCTTTTATTTATTTTTTCTCTATTAATTTATCTTATGATATACAAATAAAATCAACAACATAAAAATTTATCGAATTAAAGAGGAGGTGCAGTTCGTTGAGAGGAGGTGGTTGTCCCTGTTGTAGGTCCTACATTCGAACTGTGGGTTGGAAGAAGGTTCGTAATTTAATTACGGTATAAAGGTTATCTCCGGATTATGGGAGATGGGAGATGTAGTCGGGTCGAAGAGCGGGGAAATTTCAAAAA